TAGGAGACGCCATGTGCCTGTATGATGGGACCCAGTGATGTCGTTTATATGGAGAAGAGGAGGGGTCCAAGAACTTATCCCTGAGGAACCCCAGTGACAAGTTGATGTGCTTTGGATACCTCCCCTCCCCAAGCCACCCTGAAAGACCTACCAGTGAGATAGGATTCAAACCAGCGAAGAGGAATCCCTGTGATACCCAGCGATGAGAGGGCAGACAGGAGGATCTGATGATTGACAGTGTCAAAAGCAGCAGATAGATCCAGCAGAATAAGAACTGATGATTTGGAATCAGCTTTTGCAATCCGCAAGGCTTCCGTGACTGACAGTAGCGCAGTCTCAGTTGAATGGCCACTCCTGAAACCTGACTGGTTAGCATCCAGTTTGTTGTTCTGTGAAAGAAACAATGATATCTGGTTGAAAACAACTCTTTCGAGGGTTTTCGCTATGAATGGAAGGAGAGAGACTGGTCTGTAGCTATCTGTAAGTGAAATGTTTAACGTAGGTTTTTTGAGCAGTGGGGTTACCCGAGCCTTCTTGAATGCAGTGGGGAAGGTACCTGTGAGGAGAGATGTGTTGATGATATGTGTGAGTGTTGGTAAAAGTGTAGGAGAGATTGCTTGGAGGAGGTGCGAGGGGATTGGATCTAGAGGGCATGTTGTAGGATGGCTGGAGAGGAGAAGTTTTGATACTTCTGCCTCAGTGAGGGGACAGAAGGAGAAGATGGGAGTTTTTGCAGTGGGTGTATTGATTATTATCAATGTTGAACACAGTTGTGCTGCACAATATTTTTGTGGAAACTGTGAGGCATTTTATTTTTCAGGATTCACAGATGAATAGAAAGTTCAAAAGAACAGCATTTCTTTGAAATAGAAATCCTTTGTTACATTATAAATGTCTTTACTGTCACTTTTGATCAATTAATGCATCCTTGATAAATAAAAGTATTAATTTATTTCTTTTGAAAATGAATCACGGTTTCCACAAAAATATCAAATAAATAACAGCTGTTTTAAATTGTAATAATTTTTCACAATTTTACTCTATTTTTGATCAGATAAATGCAGCCTGGGTGAGCAGAAGGGACTTCTTTCAGAAACATGAAAAACTCTTGGTAATTGCTGACGTTTGTATTTGGTGAGGTTGTTTAATCACATGTGCTGCTCAATGATCATGTGACATCAGCACATGCCCACACACACACTCTCTCACAGCATCTGGTGTGTTTATTGTCACTGGGTCAGAAGTCACGCCGTCCTGCTGAGGAAGCATCTGATAGATTCAGTGCCGCCACACACACTCACACTCACACACACACACACACACACACACACACACTGATCAGAGAGCTGGGCTCCTCTGGCTCCTCAGAGGTGTAACGTGTGGCCCTGTCTCCTGTAGGAGGCTCTGTCTCTCTCTCCGCGGCACGTTGAGCCCAAGTCTCCCACATCCAGCACTGCCTTCTGTAGCTCAGATCCTCCTGCCTCCGGCAGCAAAGGGCCGCCGCGTTATGAGGATGCTGTGAAACAGGTAAAGCAGCTCAGGATCCTCTCACGCTCTCAGAGAGCTTCTGTCTGTGTCTCTGCAGCTTTACTGACAGCGGCAGTAAATTACAATAAATTGTAAGTTACAGTTGTACAATAAAAAATGTCATATTTGATAATAATAATAATAATGATAATAATAATAATAATAATAATTGTATTGTACACCCTGTCCACACAAATGTTGGAGATGATGTGAATGTGTAAATAAAGTGAGCACGTGTTGCATTCTCAGATACATGTTAGACTCATACAGTGATGAAGTTCACTGAGACGCTGAAAACCCCGGATCAGAGCTGATGATGACATGAACACAGAGCCACGCTTCACTCTGAATATACTGATACTGAATTCAATCACAGACGTTGATTTGATCATCACACTGATTATTGCAAAGCCCTGTTGATTTACTTTAGTTGTACATGTAATATGAGCAGCTGTTGGCGTTTCATTAACTTAAGAAGCCCGTTTGCTGTAACTTTCTAGCGATAGCTGTCCTAGAAATCGCCTGCAGAAACAAACATTTACCATCAAGTCTGAGTGAAACCAGTCCCAGGACAAGCGTTTGAATTCCGTCAGCTACAAAATCTCTTCATACATTTAACACTCTTAATGCATTCAAAATCTGTGTACTAGGATAAGATATCGTAACTGTTGTTTAAACGATAAACGATTTGACATTACCGAGTATATCGCAAAAACCAAACAGAAACACACAGAGTGCGTAGTTTTGCGTCTCTTGAGCAACATGACGGTGTTTCCTTACTGAATCAATCCGCTGTTTGAATGAATCAGTTGAGTGAACGACTTAATGACTCACTCGTGCAGTGATTTGCTGCCACCTACTGGCGAATTTAGGTTCATATTTAAAGTATATGTTCCCTTTTTTCCCCCAGAATCATCTCGAATATCACTAATGAAAGTTTTGTTTTTAAAACATCAAAACATTATTTATGCAGGTGAACTGCATTCATGTCCTGCATTAAACCGTCTGTGTGAATGCATCTAAACGCCACTTCAGATGCAGATTCTGTTCCTCTGCACTGCAAACACAAATTTTGTTGATTGATACGGATTTAATTTGATTGGTAACAGCCCTACAGTGCCTTACTATTTGAATTGATTGATTAAATGTAAGAATTTGACACAAAAGTTGATGCATACATTTAATTAGTTTAGAAAAAAACCTTATAAAGGTAAAAATGCATATAAAAGGTAAAAATCAACTTATTGTAAAAGTTAATTTCTGTTACTCCTGCAAACAAACCACTGCACAGAACATGAAGAATATCCGAAGCTTTGGGAGTCAGCTTCCAGCTGTCCTAAACCTGCCAAAATACCAGCACAATTTCAGCAAAATATCATCTAATCATCGCTATCGACAAAATTCCAGAAAATATCCAGATATCATTTTATGTCATTATCGCACACTCCTACTGTGTACTGTTTTCACATTTGGGAGCCGAGTATTTGTTATTTTATAAAACTTCTGATTATTGAGTGAATGTGAAAAAATTCAAGCTTTGGATGTCATATTATTATTGCATTTACCCATTTTTTATTAATCAAAAAAATTGTGAAGCTCTTTGAAATGTCATACATTAACTGCTGAGAAATTTAATAGAATATATGATTGTTTGAGGTGTATAAGATCATATAATTACTAACGCCACTAGAATGAATAGAATTGAATTCCTTTGAATTTCTAACTCACGATTGCTCAAATACAGTCCAAATTTACAAAACCAACAGCAGATTTATTTATAATAAACAACATCAAAACAACATAAATATTACTCTGAAAAGATTTCAAACAAACTAAATTAATTTGTATAAACGTTTCAGATGAACAAAAAGTCATGGATTTTCTTTTTTTCTGCAGTGGTTCGACAATAGACCTACATATTCATGTTCATCAACTGAATCCAGTCCAAAAGTGTGTGAGATATGGAGAAAAGACTAAAAGACTTAACCAAAGTTCTTTGACACTAATATAACTTCATAGACAATTCTACAAAAAGCATTTTTAACACCCAAGAGCACGAAACATGTTTCTTAAAAGATTCTATCTCTTCAAAACAAGATCTGAAACAAATAAATGATGTGTATTTTGAGGGTCTTAAAGCATTTGCAAAGTTTCATTCCATTAATAAAAAACACAATGCAATTGTTACGCATCTCCTCTGCGTTATGAGGGTTAAAGCCAAGAATAGAAGGCTGCACTGAATAGCAACACCATTACATGATCCTGTGATGTTCTTGCAGCAGATGTCATGCAGCCAGCAGATGGACGAGCTTCTAGACGTCCTCATCGAGAGTGGAGGTGAGTCTCAATCATCGCATTTCACCCAGTAACCCAGCTGTTATTGACCATTAAAGTCGCTGTCTGTGCTGTCATTGTCTTGTTTTAAAGAAATGCCAGCTAACGCCAAAGAAGAGCGGTCTCCTGTAACCAAAGTTGTGCCTCACCTTACAGTTTCGCCCAAGTTCCACCGACACTACAGTCAGGTGTCGCCCTCCATGCTGTGGTCCGATCACGGAGACGCTCACCTGGAGCCGCTGCTGAGCCGGACGCAAGGAGACGCGGCGCTCCTGAAGATGCCTGCTGAGGACGGATTCACAAAGATCTCAGCGGGCACCGCCGAGGGTCACGGCCTCGGAATGACCTTCGCGGAGTCGCCGTGGGAGACGATGGAGTGGCTGGATCTGATTCCGCCCAGCTCTGCCAACGCCTCCCACAGCGGCCTGCCTCCGTCTGGACCGAGCATCTTCAACACGGAGCTCCTGGACGAGACCGACATCAGCCTGCACCTGGAGCACTGGTGAGGACAAACATCACGTCCACAGCCAGAGCTCCAGCGCTTACCACTGTTTCATCACGCGCCATCAAAACTTGAATCATTTCGACTGTGGATTCTGTTTGGATTACTGGAAACAGAAAGGAATTGGATTCAGACCGAGACGTCCGTACATCCGTCTGCAAACACATGAACGCAGCTCGATACGGTTTAGTTTCGTCTGCACATCTGTGGTGTGGGAAAAGCACGTATTAATGCGTCACACTAGTATATCACATGCCCTTGTAAATATGAATTCACACTTGCACCTTGAGCTTACAGTAGGATGTCACGCTTTATATGAGCATTTCCTTCCTTTCTGTCACCATCGTGTCTTTAATTTATTTAGCGAGCGCAAACCTTTGGGTTTTACGTGTGATATGAAGGCCTGCTTCCATCATGGGATAAAAAATAATAGTATTTGTGTCTTTATAGCTCAGACTGTTTCTCACAATCTTCAGCATTGCAAGATATAAACACCACAAAATGACAAGTAAAAACACGTAATTGCGACATTTTATCTCACAATTATGACTTTTTTTCTCGTAATTTTATATCTTAATATTCTGATTATATATCTCATAATTCTGACTTTTTATCTTGCAATTCTGAGTTTATATCTCACAATTTCGACTTCATATCTCATAATTCCGACTCTACTTGCAATCTATATCTCATAATTCTGACTCTATATCTCACAATTTCAACTTCATATCTCATAAACCCAACTTCATATCTCATAATTCTGACTCTATATCTCATAATTATGACTCTATATCTCATAATTCCAACTCAATATCTCGTAATTCCGACTCTATATCTCATAATTCTGACTCTATATCTCGCAATTCCAACTCTATATCTCATAATTCCGACTTCATATCTCATAATTCTGACTCTATATCTCGCAATTCCAACTCTATATCTCATAATTCCGACTTCATATCTCATAATTCTGACTCTATATCTCGCAATTCCAACTCTATATCTCATAATTATGACTCTATATCTCATAATTCCGACTCTATATCTCATAATTATGACTCTATATCTCGCAATTCCAACTCTATATCTCATAATTCTGACTCTATATCTCGCTATTCCGACTCTATATCTCATAATTCCGACTTCATATCTCATAATTCTGACTCTATATCTCGCAATTCCGACTCTATATCTCAGAATTCCGACTCTATATCTCGCTATTCCGACTCTATATCTCATAATTCTGACCCTATATCTCATAATTCTGACTCTATATCTCGCAATTCCAACTCTATATCTCATAATTCCGACTCTATATCTCATAATTCTGACTCTATATCTCACAATTCCAACTCTATATCTCATAATTCCGACTTCATATCTCATAATTCCGACTCTATATCTCATAATTCTGACTCTATATCTCGCAATTCCGACTCTATATCTCATAATTCCAACTCTATATCTCATAATTCTGACTCTATATCTCGCAATTCTGACTCTATATCTCATAATTCCGAGTTTATATCTCATAATTATGAGTTTATGTCTTGAAATTCTGACTTTCTATCTTAATTATTTTCTCAGAATTGTGAGGGAAAAAGTCCAAACTGTGAGAAATTATTTTTCATTGCGCTACACTTTATCTGAAAAAGAATATCACTAAATCTCAACTCTTCATAGTCACTGGAGAACTCAACTGTATTTTAGCACGATCAAGCCTTTTAATCTCTGGTCAAACGATCAAAGCAGATGAAGTATTTTTTTTTTAAATCATATTTTGCTAATTTCTTTCCCCCAAAGTCTGTTTTGCATTCTAGAATATTATATTACCGCCACTTCTGTTGTTTTGAACATTCATTAGCTCTTTTTTTATTGGTTGTTTTATTCTTTTTGGATCTTACTCTTCTGATGTATTTATTTCAACCTTTTCGTTTCATTGGCATATTTATACATATTTATGAGACATTCCTTTTCATTAAAAACAAAAGTTAGAGTAAACTCGCTCATGGTTAAAAGTGATTAAAATGAGGACACCAGAGTCAAAACAAATCACTTTGCGATAATATTCAGATCCATCATTTCATTGTGTGAAATCATCCTCCCTTATTGATATTTTTCAAAGGACATGCACATTTTCTAACACACAAACAGCATGTTTTTAATCCTGTCTGATTTATTAGACAACTTCTCGTCCCTGTTTCTCATCCAAACCTCTGAGTGTCAGTTAAGTCACACTGAATCAATCTGAAATCACAATCAGAAGCAATACTTCATTAACAGCGATGCCCATTTTTACCAGCACTTGTGAAGAATGAAATCTAATATATAGATTATATAAGTTCAACTGTGAAACTGTACTGTGGCAAATTTGGGACCTGACTTTTTAAGATCTTTCGTTTTAGCTTTTAAGACTGGTCACTGAATAGCAGAGCTTTATATATATATATATATATATATATATATACAGTATATATATATAAATGATATTAGTTCACCAAAAGCTCAAACTGTGAATAGATTTTTTTTCCCATGCTATTTTCTGGTTTCTAATCATATTTTGTGCCACTGAATGCTTTTGTACAGACCTTTAGGATCGCTTTAGTATGCCTTTTGTGGAGCCGTGAGGCCTTACAATACAAATAAACTCAATACATGAATCAGACGATCCACTTTTATATAAATACACTTTTGTAAGAAATAAACCCTGGGATCTGAAGTCCATGAATAAGCATTGAGGGCATTATAGACCAACAACAAGCTGTTTTCTATTCGAGACTCGGTATTAAACAGAGTACTGTTTTGATAAGAGACTCTATTTTTACACATGAAGGTAGGTTCATACTCTTAATACAACCAGCTCAGATATTAGGTCTATAATCCAGATGAATTGTGTGTAAAGTTTGATGTAGAGTTACTCCTGTAGATTTTATTTTTCTATGTTTGATATCAGCCAATGAACAGAGCAGCCCAGCAGAAGTGACTTTGCTATCTTGTGTTTTGTTTCCCTTCCTACAGCTTTGTTTCTTCTGGAATGTAATTCGTATGACAGAAAGCGTTAGTATTGCTTGGCCACTGAACAACATCACCATATAACCGGACCCAGTATTTGTCTCCACCACTGTATTACTGTACCAGATCTCAATAAACAAACGTAAAACCAACCAATCAGACTGTGCGCTGTATTCGATGACTTCTGAAGAGCACTGCAGTGAGTTTTTCGACTTTCCACTTCAAGATGTCATTTAATTCAGTGTTTAGTTGTAATTCATTGTGAAATGTGCGATTTCTGAGTGAAAACCGTATCCACACCCATTGTTTTTTTTCAGTGCAGGTACTTCAGAACGATCTTCAAATGCATGTAACTGCTAGCGTTTACAGGTATAAATGCAATAATAACTGCGAGACGCTGAGTATTGGTTTTATTCTAGCACTGAGCCCGTCGTGTGTTCAGATCTAAGAGCAGAATGACAATAAACCTGCAGGCAAACACGCTCATCATATTCATAACGCCAGCTGATGTCCTCATTAACAAGCTGTCAGAGGTCAATATATATCCAAAAATTAACATATAGTATGCTTTATCCCTGCACAATTTTTACAGATTACTCTTCTCACCGTACACTCAGTGATTCTATTTCAGTGTTTTTTCTGTACATAGTTTCCACTCTTGATACAATATAATAATACACATCACCCTTAAAATGATTCGTGATTTGAACACTACTATTTCTTAAATCGCATTTGAGAGGATTTTCTGCTGTGAAACTGGAAAGCTGATTTCTTGACAAAGACTAGTGACATCATCTTCCATCGTGAAAACATGACACTCTCTGAACACTATCCGGCAGCATATCATTATACAATCAGACCGATGTTTGATAAACACTGTGCATCTTTTACAATAAGTGAGCTGTGAATGAATTGTAGGCCGTATCTCACACAAACTCACGCCAGATCCTCTGAAAACATGCTGAAAGTGAGCTTGTGGGGAATCTGTGAATCTTCTGATTGGACGATGTGGAAGTGAAACATCATTTCCAGCGCCTGCATTCAGACACCAGACTGGATTCTCTCGGAGAAAGTGGAAACCGTTTGGATCATCGTGACCAGGGGCGCCGCTAGCAATTTTGGGCCCTATGAAAGAATATGAGGTTGGGCCCCCTACTTCACCAAACATACACTGACTATATTGCCCAAAGTATTGGGAAAACTCAAAAAAACTCATCGCCAAACACCAATGACTTGTACATATGCGTACAATCATTTTAGACACTTCCAAAACTGTGGCAACAAAGATGGAAATACAATTTTTAAATACATGAATTATGTTTCGATCTTTGATGCCACAGTTTTGGAAGTGCCTTTTTCTGTTCTAAAGAAGGAGGTGTCCCAATACATTTGTCCATATGTATGTACAAGTCACTGGTGTTTGGTGATGAGTTTTTGGCTCAAGGTCTGCATTTAAAGTCACAGCAGAGGTGTTCAGATGGGATTAGGACGTGGCTTTCTGCAGACCAGCCCAGTTCTTCCACACTGACTCGATCAATCTTTGTTTTTTAACCTTGCCTTATACACAGAGGCATTGTTGTGTTAGAATAGAAAAGGGTCCTGTTCAAACTATTGGTATAAAATTAGAAGCACACAATTCCCTAGAATAGCATTATATGCTTTTTTTTTTTACTAAAAATTAGAAATGACTAAAGTAGTCAAACCTGTTCATTAGAAGGGTGTGTCCCAATACTTTGGGCAATGTAGTGGGCAAGCCAGCCTAGCTATTCAAAATCTTTGTCTGCAATTTAATAATATTGACCTATTGACTATTGCTATTGCTTTTGACCATTAGGTATCAGTAACATAATTAATTCAGAACCTGTTTTATGGACATAGACTTTCTGTACCACACTATTCTGCTGATATGGAATGAGTTTTAATCAGTTATATTAATATTAATAATAAATAGGATACCCCATAGCAGCATTTCCAGCAGTATCCAACATTTCTCAATCATACAAATAATTTATTTAAATTTTACATTTTTATGATTTAATTAATTATTTGCATTTCATTAAACTCGCAAACCCCCTGCAGTTCCTTTATGAACCCTAGTTTGGGAAACCTTTATAATGTAATGTTTAATGCATTTCATGTTGTAAATAACAACAAATCAAAAGTAATCTAAAGTAATTAAAAATAGTCTGATTAGGCTATATTGCGTAAAATGTGTAACGTAACGGATTACGTTACTAACTACAATGTTTATCTTGTAATTTGGAATCAGTAACGGACTACAAGTTGTAACCTACCCAGCTCTGCATAAAAACTTGCAGTTCTGAGAAGAAAAGTCAGAATTGTGAGATAAAAAGTTAGTTACCTTTTTATTTTTTATTCAAAACAACAGTTGCGAGAAGTAAACTCAGAATTCTGAGGAGTAAAATCAGAACTGTGATTTTTTTGTATTCCGTCCGACAAAAAAAAATAACAATTGTGAGATATAAACTCAGAATTGTGGAATTGCGAGAAAGAAAGTAACATTTTTTTTTATTCCGTGGTGGAAACGGGCTTCCATACAATACCATACTTTGTTGTTGTTGTTGTTCTGTAACACTGTCTGTAACACAAGAAGTGCACTTTAGGATGTTCAGAGCTCGAGCTGTCTTCAGAACACCACAGTTATCTGTCCACGAGAGGGAGACCACAGACAAGCGAGAGCAGCTGAACACATGATTCAGTCATATTTCCACTCGGTTTCACTCCTGCAGCTCCTGTAAATGTTCCTTACATCATCCAGCAGAGGAGTGAATATTCATTTCACGAGCAGGAATGTACCTAAGGACACACAATAACCATGAAAACCCGTCACATCACACTCTTTAGATAGTTTCCTTCATTTGAAGTATCCTATCCATAGCCTATTAATAGCTAAGACACAAAAGCTGACACGTTTGAATTCAACAGTTGGAGGTGAAATCAATTTGAATCCATCGTGTTCTCAATTCATTTGAAGTGAATGTTATAGCTAATATTTTATAAATATTTGTTTTTCTTCAGTGTTGCAGCCGATTTTACCCATGCACTCAAGAACCAGTTAATTAAATCCAACGCAAATGGAGAATATCGCGCTTCTTTTATGCAGGCAGGTCGAATATATTCAGTTACTTGATGTTAGCTACATGCATGCACATAAATATGCAAAACTTAATATGTGAAACATCTTACTTAATCCACAAGATTTTGTTATTTAATTAATTAATGAAAGTTACCTTAATTCTGAGCAACCTGTCGGTGATGAGCAGCTGGTGTTCTCATGGGCATCCCCACATTTCATCTGAGAAGCGTCTGAACTGTCGCAGTTCTCTGTGTTCTCCTGTATTAGACAATACAGACGTTTAGTGACACAGATCAGGCTTTTCGGAATGAGGCAATGCAGTGAATGAGCTCTGATGTTGTGTGTGTGCGTGCGTGCGTGCGTGCGTGCGTGCGTGTGTGTTCACCCCACTGCCACTCGCTGCGATCCACACAGCATTCACGTCACAGTCACACCGACCCTGAGAATGACGAGCACCGCTTGAGTTCGGAGTCATTCGGAGTTCCCATTTGGAGACAGTCTGGAGATCTGATTCGCCGCCTGAGGAGTTACGATGTCGGGCTCGTTTTGCCGAAGTTTATACGCGTTTACCGGCGATCAGCACCAGCAGGGACTGAAGTTTGAGGCTGGAGAGCTGATCAGAATAACGCAAGCTCTGGACGGAGGCTGGTGGGAGGGAGAGAAGGACGGAGTCAAGGGATGGTTCCCCTCAACTTACGTGCAGCTGGAGGTAAGCCCTTCATCATCATCATCATCATCATCATCTCAGGTGTGCGTGTGTTCATCATCGCGTCCGAACACGAGAACTCTATCGGCTGCCGTACAGGCGACACATTTAGGTTATAAAAACGACATGGGAACATAATGTTTTGAAATTAAATTAGAAAGTTAGTCAGAGGTTACAAAAACTTTATACTAACTTTATTTCACCAAAAATATAACGTGATCGTTTATTCTAAGAACGCTAGAATGTCCCGTTTTCTTGTGGTGATTAGAATAGTATTTAAAGGTTACAAACAAACGAAATTAGAAATCGTGATAAGGACGTTCCGAGAATGTTGTTTTTAGAACGTTTTCTCTCGAAATTATAACAACGTTCATCAAGTTCAAATAACATTATAAATGTTGATCTCAGAACGTTTCTCTCAACGTTTTCTTGTAATAAAGTTATCAGAACGTTCCACTAGCATTACTTTAAGAACGTTTTGCGTATAATGTAAGGACATTAATATAGCCTAACGCTAGTGAAAGTAGTCGGGCGCTCTGAGTAATGACTCGGTGTTGAGAGTGAAATCTGTGTTTTATTCAGTAAAGCTGAGACTTTTACTCTCACTTACTCTTACTCTTACTTTAGTAAGGTGCGAACTGTCTCTCGCCAATCGAAACGTTTCAAACGGGTTCTGAACGCTGGTGCCCTTACGAAAAAGAAGTTTATTCAAGTGTGCTATTAGTATACTTCTTTTAAACTAAAAAATAGGAAAGTATACTTTTAGTCTACTTTTTCTGTTCTTCTCAGAAATGGGCTTTATGTTCTTCTCAGAAATATACTTAAAATGACATTTAAGTATACTTGACTTATACTTAGAAAAAGTCTAAATATATTTGAGCTACTGTATACTTGTGCCCCTAGAATCAGTGTTTTCATTGTTATACTGTAGGGGGCGCTAGTACACATCTTCTGTACAGAATTTCCAAAAAACACAAGTGAAGAAGAAACCGAAACAACAGATGCTTCCACATGTAATCTAACACAATCATCAGACATAAAACAGCATCAAAACTGTGTAACGTAATGGAATAAAATGTTGACCAATGAAGAGGTAATACTGACTGTCAAGCTTTGGGGTGTTGATCGACTCCATCTACGTTTTGATTATCATTCTGAATCCAATTCATAGTCTTGTTTTCAGCTTTTTGTTCAAAATATTGTGTATTTATTTCTGATTTTTTTTTTTATTTATGAAACTTACCCACATTCGAGTGTTTATAAAAAAGAATGCATGAAGCTAGAATAAAATGTTTTTGTTTACAAGCAGATACCCTGTTCTTTTGATGTTTTGTATGTTCA